ATGGGGCAGGGAGGGGATGGGGGCATGGTTGTTCGCTTGCTCCGTCTTTCTGCAACGGGTTGCGTTTGTGTATTTAAGTGTAGAGTTTGGTTAGGGTCAGTGGTAGGGTTGGGGTTAGAGATGGGTCAGGGTTAGGGTAAGGGTCATGATAAGGGTTAGGGTTGGTGTTAGGGTAGGGCTTACGGTTAGAGTTAGTGGTTATAGTTATAGTTAGGGTTTTAGGGTTGGGGTTAGACTAAGGGTTAGGGTTAGGGTAAGTGTTAGGGGTTAGGTTTACAGTTGAATTATATTACTAACGCTTATATGCATGCGTGTAAGGAACGAAAAGTAATTGTGGGTTTCACTGAATGGTAACCGTGTGTGTCTGTGTGTGTGTTTCGGTAGTGGATGAGGATGGAGCAGGCATGAACGTGGGTGTCGTCGTCGGCGTGGTGTGTACCGTCGTGCTGCTGCTGGTCGCACTCGTTATCTACGCATTCATCACGTAAGTACATCCTATACTGTCTCATCGGTGTTGTTGTCGTTCATGTTGTTGTTGTTGTTGTTGTTGTTGTTGACGTTGTTGGTTTCGTTGTTGTCGTTGTTGTTGTTTTTGTTGGTGTCCTTGTTGTGGCAGTTTTTCTTGTTTTTGTCATCGTTCTTGTTGCTTTTTTTGTGTTTGTTATTTTCATTGTTATTGTTGTTGTTGTTATTGTTATTGTTGTTTTTGTTGTTGATGATGTTGACCAGTCACATTCTGGTAGGCAACAAATCCGCACATTGTTTACACCAGCCGCTGTACACACGACCGATTTTCTCAAGCGAAACACATCTTGCTGGCACACTTGGCCACTCTAGACCTGTGAAAAATGCAATTCTACGTAAACCCAAAAATGTAAAAACAAAAGTCGGCAGCAAGAGCGTCTACATCTGCGGGGCAGATGCGGGGCAGAACCTGTCAAATACTGAAAACGATTGACTGCATCTGAATGCGCCGCACGATGGCAGCAGTGTACGTGCGACCTGCCAGGCAGCATCGTGCCGCGGCCAAGTGAGCTTCCCTCCACAGTGAGAATATTGAATAACTATGACTATGATATAATATGTATACATATATATATATATATATATATATATATTATGTGGTGTGCGTTGTAAGTAGAGAGTCTGGCACGGTAATCGTGCGCTTTGTGGCGGCTTTCGTGATCCGTCCGTAATGTCTGTGGGGGCATATAGAGAGGTTCGCCACACCCGGTCCTACTGTAGTAGTGGAGGCGTGCAGCCACGCGCGTGCTGAGCGTTAGAGAAACTCTAGTTGAGAGGGGCCTGGGGATGGATGCTACTATTGCTGAGAGGGTCTATGTCCCCAGGGTACTGCCGGAACGTACCCTGGGTACGGTCCGATATACCGGAACGTACCCTGGTACCAGAGCATATAAATCAACGTGATTTATATGCTCTGCTGGTACTATATAATATGCCGGACAGTACCTACGCCTACTCGCTAATCCTAACCCTAACCATATCAGAGTTACCAGGGTACGTTCCGGTATACCAGACCGTACCCAGGGTACGTTCCGGCAGTACACTGGGGGACATAGACCCTATGAGCGCTACTATTAGCTCATTGCTGCATGTCATCTATTGATCATGAAGAGGTCTAGAGCTGTCGCTAACTGCGACCCGAACAACGCTCTTCTTTATTTTCACATCATTCCCCTCCTCACCCACTCCAAGCGGATACGAACCACCCTTCCCTTCTAGGTTCACCACACTCGCTATGGCCAAATCATGGTTTGCAGATTCTCTAAATGAGTGGACTGCAACATTCCCCCAGCCATCCCATGATCAATCGCTTACTCTTAATCTTTGCAAGAATTACATTTCAATTGGGCCCAAAATCGATTAGGAACCGCATGTGTTCCCTCGTTTGCATAACGGTTCGATTTGTTTGAAGGGGGACGAGCATAATATCTCATTACTGTACTCAGTCACTGCATCGGACCCTACATCTCTCTGCGTGATCTAGGCCTGTGTACGTGTGTCCACGTACTGTCACCGCATCTACCTGTGTGTTCTCTTAATTAATGTCACCGTGTCAAGTTCCTACCTTGGTGTCATTAGTCAAATCCAATTGACCCCCCGAAAAACGTAACGATAGTTAATTAACTGCAAGTGTTCCGTCGTTTGCATAACGGTGCGGTTGGTTTGAGGGGGAGGGGGTCGTTTGAGGGCGAGGGATCGTTTGAGGGGGAGGGGGTCGTTTGAGGGGGAGGGGGTCGAGCATTTACAAGGAGGTACACAGTTGCTGCATCGCACCGGTGCATGTCTGCGTAGTTTACAGCTGTCATGCTGCGCACTTGTCCAACTTTGCATCCACTTACTGACTTGACTGTCACCGTATCTACCCGTGTGTCCACGTACTGTCACCGTATCTACCCGTGTGTCCACGTACTGTCATCGTATCTACCTGCGTGTCAACGTACTGCCACTCTGTCTAGCCGTGTGTACTGTCACCGTATCCAACTGTGCGTCCACTTACTGACTGTGCGGGCTGTTACTGTCAACATGTCCTGCTGCGTGTTCACGTACTGTCACCGTATATACCTGTATGTCCAGGTAATGTCACCGTGTCCGGCTCGTCCTCGGACATGAACGCGGAAGCTTGCCCCTTCGCTTGCTAGCTACCCGCTGCGTTCGCTGATTAACCCCTTTGTCGGGCAATTACTCTCCGCTTAGAGCCGTTGTGTGTATTGCATTGTATTGTATTGTATTGTATTGTATTGTTGCTGGGAGCAGGATTTCTGGTACACAGCGCGGCCGGTCGGTCATGAGCCTACCTGTCCGCGTGTTTAGCAAGACCAAGCTGCGAGCGAGACTGACGTCAGTGAACAAATTCATTCACAATACAGCACAACACTGCGCCACGCAATACGATACGTTGCAATACAAAACAATACATTTCGATGCGGTGCGATGCGATACAATACAATGCGATGCAATACATTGTAACAATACAATGCAATACAATATGATACGATAAAAAATGAAATGCGCAATGTATTTCGGCATAAGACGGTTTCTTCGAGCCACATTATGTTATGTTATGTTATGTTCGCCTACTTAGTAACTAGCAAGCGTCCAACTACACCGGACTAGATAACGGTGGGTGTGTACGGGGGTCCGATGTCTGCCTGCTCTTCATACACGGGGTAGCTGTGTGCTCGTACACACGTCCGATGGCGTACACACGTAAACTCTAGTAGCCCCATGCCACAGTGACGGGGGGGGGGCAGTGATGGCATTATTCATCAACAACGCGCGACCACCTTGCTGGGTGGACCACACTGTAGTGGAATCTATGTTAGCGGAATCACGCGTAGCCACTGGCTGCGGGTTAATTAGGGACTCAGAGGGTGGTATGGTATTAGAGGTAGGTAAGCTATTATAGGTTTAGAGCTATTAGGGCTATTAGTGCTGCTGGAAGTAGGGGGGGGGCAGTCTGAGATAACCGATTGATTCATCTCACCCCTCCCTCCTTGCTACTTTCCCCTCCCTCATCCCTCCTCCTTCCTCCCTCCTCCCTCCTCCCTCCTCCCTCCTCGCTCCCGCCGAGCCGCGCAGAGGGATAGTAGGTACTATTAGGGCTGCTGGAAGGGCGGCCCAGTTTGAGACTAATGGATTCATCTCACCCCTCCTCCTCGCCCTCGCTCTTTCCTCCTCCCTCCTCCCTCCCCCCTCCCTCCTTCCGTTTCCTCTCCTCCCTCCTCACTCCTCGTTCCTCTCTCCTCCCTCCTCCCTCCTCCCTCCTGCATCATCCTTCCGCCTGCATCCTCCCTCCTCCCTCCACCCTCCCTCCTCCCTGCTCCCTTATCCTTCCTCCCTGCTCCCTCCTCCTCTCTACTCCCTCCCTCCATCCTCCTCCCTCTCTCCATCCTCCTCTCTCCCTCCATCCTCCTCCCTTCCTCCATCCTCCTCCCTTCCGATGATGGTCACGCAGCGTGACATATGTAAAGATGCGCGATGCGCCGATGATCAGAGGAGTAAACGGATGTCATTGTGTGATGGCGCGTGAGGGGGTCGAAGAATGGCTGCCGATGTAGGCATACTGAAGATGCCCTTGCTGCTGCTGCTGCTGCTGCTGCTACTACTACTGCTGCTGCTGCTACTGCTGCTGCTGCTGCATGCTACTACTACTGCTGCTGCTGCTACTACTACTGCTGCTGCTGCTACTGCTGCTGCTGCTGCTACTGCTGCTGCTGCTGCTACTGCTACTGCTACTGCTGTGGCTGATGATGATGGTAATGGTGATGATGATGATGCTGCTACTGCTGCTACTGCTGCTGCTGCTGCTGCTGCTGATGATGATGATGATGATGATGATGATGATGATGATGTAAGCCCCAGTGTAGACACGTACAGACGCTGCATGTGCGTGGTTGCGTTTTAGCAAGAGCACGTAAACTCATAAATAGCTGTAATTGTTTATATGCTCTTGGTTTTATAGTAGCTAGCGCTGGGGCTGTGTTCCAGGGCTGTCTCTCCTCTCCCTCTCTCTCTCTCTCTCTCTCTCTCTCTCTCTCTCTCTCTCTCTTCTCTGTCTCACGCGCGCGCGCTCTCTCTCTCTCTCTCTCTCTCTCTCTCTCTCTCTCTCTTCTCTGTCTCACGCGCGCGCGCTCTCTCTCTCTCTCTCTCTCTCTCTCTCTCTCTCTCTCTTCTCTGTCTCACGCGCGCG